TGCGAAGGATTTGACTATTCTAGATTTAAAGCTTTCGTGACTGCAAGGATCCATACTCTTTGGTTCTATTGGGTAAAGTCACGTAGGTAAAAAAATTAATATGACTACCATTCTTAAAACACATGGTGGTTGTGACAGGCTTTGGTGAGTGTTCAATGTGGGGGTTTTCATTTACCTGCAAGAGGTTTCTCTCCAGGCTTTGGCTGCAAAGACAAGACAAATTAACTTTTTTAATCCTGTCGTACACTGGCAGTGACTAAGGGTTTCAACATATTTGATGGCAAACAAACCTGGTAATATTTAGGTGGAAATTTCTGGCACAGTTCGGACAGCAGCATGTCCACCCGCTGTCTCTGGAAGTAGGAGCTTGGTTCATCCTTCTTGTCCTTTGGCTTTGACTTTTCTGGAACAAATTTTTTTGTAATTGTTAAGTGACGTGCAGAAAGCATCAAGTATGGTGATTTGACTCGTGCCAGTTAATGTTGTGTTGCTTACCTTTGAATTCTTGGTCTTTGAACCTCCACCAATAACCTTTGGAGGGGTGATAACGTGAATACGCTTGGGTTTCATCGAATGCGGACTGGATGTTGTGGACAGCGGACAGCTGTTGTCAAAAGTACAACAGGCACTCTTTTAGTACAAGATTATTTAAATAAATTCATCACAGTAATCTAATGCTAACTATTGAAAATATTTGAATAGACAATACATGTTGGGAATTATGAACACTGAATGCATTGGTGATCATTTGGGATAGAACATACATTCCACTAATGTTTACTTTGCATTTGGTGACTCAGGTCCATGCTGTCTGCATGCTTGGGCAGTGGTGGGTGTAGGCAGTGTCTACTGTGTGCGCTGCATACTATTCTTGAGTTTATGACCGTGCCGAGGTCAGGAGCCTGGTACACCACTCCCGCGATGATATAGAAATCTGCAAATGGGGTAACTGCAAAAAAGACAACAGCATCAATTAATTAACAAAGTATTCTTCATGTGTTACCAAAAGTGTTTAATGCAATTTTATAACTTCGTGAAAAGTAGGAAAATTTGCTTTCGTAAAGCTGTTTTGTTAGATCTGATGAAACTGTTGATTTGGCATATAATTGAATGTGGCTTCGTACTTGACTCAACAATACGGTTTAACTGGGTTGCTTTGAGGAGTTCAGTGCCACGTTGAACTGGCATAGCTTCGTACCAGAGCAGTAAGAGTAGCCGCTCACTGAATAAGAAGCCGGGAAAATAAGCCAGTTTCAGCCTTGTTTCTTAAAGGTGGAGGTGACATGAACAGCATGTGGGCAGCACTGCCCCAACTGGCTCACCCTGTGTGGGCGAGTGTCTGTGCTGCTTGCGCACTATATACAGGATCGGCTCCTGGGTATGCAGTAAGATGTACTCCAGGCCTGTCATGTTGCTGGACAGAACAAAAGGGGTGACAATACAAAACATCAAAGTGGTGTCCCGCTCAAACAAGCTTGGAGCAGTATTTAGCTCCTGATTATTGCCCTCAGCCAGTGGTTGAAATTCGACATTGCTACAGTCGTGGTACTAAAAGGATAACTTTTTCCACAAAGTGATAATAATTTAATCGACCCAAGGGGCGAAAGGTCAAGTCATTCCCCCCCACTTACATCTTGCAAATTTCAAACCCTGCACTCTAACCATCGTGTCACGTAGCCTGATGGTTATGACAGTGCAGGGATGTAAAAAAAAACAGTAACAATTCAAAACATTCATTTGCAAGCATTTAAGCTCCAAACAATATTGTAAAGTATAGGAGGTGTGTTTTTTTTTAAACACAGCATTGAACTAAGTTTTCCAATGACGGCTGACCATAATAAACATCACTGGACATCATCAGCTGCGCGTGTGTGTGTGATGAGGGGGGTCACGCGCGGCCGCACTTGAGTTGCTCCAGGCTGAGCCGCTGCATCTTGACGACTTCGTTGTTGCACGTGCGGTCATAGAAGGGATTGCTGCGCTCAGAGAAGTAATCGAGGACGTTGGCCGGGTTGAGAACGGGGATCCACGCGCTGTCGTGCCACGAAATCCCCAGAAGCGTGTCTGGGGGGCGAGTGGCAGGAGGGCAGGTCAGGCAGAAGCGCTCGACAATTGAGATATTCCATAATGGAGGTTTGTTGGGTTCGATCGCGTAAATATCTATGTGTCGTTAAACCCGCCAGCACACGACACAGCCAATTAACCCCAAAAAAACTTATGGATAATATTGGTCGCGAAAGCCTACGTTAAATTGAGCTACTTATTCAGGCTGTTTAAGTCGCGTTCACGTGTAACCACGTAGCGGTGGCACCGCTCTGAAGAGGGAGTTGACAACTTATTGTCCCCACAGATGGGAAGAAATAAACCCAAGTCTCTGCCACGATAATACCAGCAGATAAAAAAAATTATGGACCTGTTGTTTTTTCAAATAACATACAGTAGTCGGTTCTTTAGCTTTCAATAAATGTAATATAAAGGCTGCTCGTTTAGTGTTAATGTAGGGGTTAAGGTTGGGGGTTCCGGTCAGGCTATCCCCTGGACTAGTCCTAGTAACATTTACTGGCCCTAATCGTTAGGGTCAGAAGTGTATAAAACGTGCTTTTCTTGCACCGCGTCTGAGGACTGTAGTAGCATCAGCCGTCTGAAAAAAAAAGAGTGCTGCAGCCAATATAGCCACAGGGTCACTATGGTTATATACCATGCACATTAATCACACCAGCCATTAATCACACCAGTTTTGATTAGGAACATTTGCTCCGAGATTGCGATTGTTATCAAACGACAATGTATCGGGCTCATAAAGCCCAACTTAGGAATCCATCCATCCATACGAATGGTGATGGTGATTTTGGACATGACTATGACTGATGCCGTGGAGATGAAGGTGCTGTAAAGACGATTATGGTTGTGAAGGAGATACAGTTCAGTAACATTGGAGCTCGTGTTTGAGATGATGGTTTATAAGATGATGCTTGTTTAGATATTATCCCGTACTGTAGCTGGTGGTTATCGAGGTGGTGGCCATAGTCGAGATGATGGCAGTTGCTGTTCGTGGCGATTTGGATTAAACGTTTCCTACCCAGAAAGGCCTCACCGAGTCTCATGACCTTTTCAGGAGGGTCCTGCCAAGATGATGGCGCTGGTAGTGGTTGCAATTGTGATGGTCGGGGTGAATAATGGTGGTGGTAGAAGTCGAGATGATTGATGGTGGTAGTGGTAGTTAAGATGGTAGTGGTAGAAGTCGAGGTGATTGATGGTGGTAGTGGTAGTTAAGATGGAAGTGGTAGAAGTCGAGGTGATTGATGGTGGTGGTAGTTAAGATGGTAGTGGTAGAAGTCGAGATGATTGATGATGGTAGTTAAGATGGTAGTGGTAGAAGTCGAGGTGATTGATGATGGTAGTCGTGGTTGAGGTGGTGCTGTGTGGTGCAGCAGCGCCACGATTCTCACCTCGGCCGTCCACGGACGCCATCGCGGGTCTGGGAAACCCTCCGCGAGTGGCGTCACCGGAAACTCTGCGATGGCGTCACGCAGCAACAAGACGTTCACGCGAGAATGACGTCATAGCGCGGCTTGAGCGATGACGTCACGCCTACGTTTTCTCACAGCGTTCACGGACGACGGCTCGCTCGCCCACCGTGTCAGCATCCGCACGCCGCGTTGTCATTGACGCGTACAACTACAGCGCGTATATCGCTGCGCTCGAGTTAACGCATCCTTTTTTAATGCACGGTCGACACATTTTAAACACCACACGTAACAACAACAACCCCCCCCCCACCGATTCACAGCACGTGTGGTTTAGAAACGGCAATAATCGCACGTTGCAGTAAATGACAATTTCCCCCGGTTATGTATTTACAAAAACGTGGCCCACGTTTTCCGCGCGAGTGATCAGTCCCCACCCGCGTCACGTGCGCGCGGGTGGGTTGGGGGTTGCGGGGAGGGGGGGAAGGGAGGGGTTTTGGGGGGAGAGTGCGACGTGGGTGGGGGGGGGCATTGCTCCCGTGGGGCGAGAGGGGGGGGGTGGCACGAGGGAGAGTTGCGATTGGGTGCTTCGCGTTAAGAGGCGGCAGGGCGTGGGCGTGACGGGTCAAGAGCCCCCACTGCTATTGGCTCCCGGGCCCGTAAGAGGCGGGGCACAGGGAGAAAGGTCCCCGTTGGCCTCAATGGCTCAGCAGGCACCGTAGGTGGTGCTGGGGGAGTAACGCGCCATGCAACGATTCCTCCTCATTCTCTCACGGCGCTTTGATTGCTTTGATTTATAACTGTTAAAGATCCCTTCCCACGCATCGATTAGAACAATTGACTCGTGCGTTATGCGCTTGCCTCCGTGTGCGCCGTTTCCGTCTTCACTCAATGTCTCGTTTTGACGAACAGTTAAGCCTCAAGGAACAACACATTCGTTGCAGTATTCGTCGATGTTAAATGTCGATTGAAATAGTTTAACACGTAGGCTTTCGCGACCAATATCATCCACAATACAGTTTTTTGGGGGGGTTAAATCGCGTAAATATATGTCGTTAATCCCGCCACCACCCGACACAGCCAACTAGTAAGGTTTGTCACGTAAACAGAACATGCCAATTCGTCACTCGCACAGCAACACCGATGTGTTGGAGAGCCAAGCCACAACATTTACAATCTGAGTACGATTATTATCGATTGAAATCATTTATCTCGAGGGGGCCGGGGCCGTGAGAAGCGGGGCTCGGGTAATGGAGGGGCGGGGTTCGGGCGGCAGCAAGGGGCGGGGCTTGAGTGGTGAGGAGGTCGTGCTTGGGTAATAAGAGGCGGGGCTATGGTGATTAGGGGCGGGGCTTGCGTTGCGATGGACGGGGCTTGGGTAGTGAGGGGCGGGGCTCCGATAAGGCGGGGCTCGGTTTTGAAGGGCGGAACTTAATCAATTAGGGGCGGGGCTATGGTAGTGAGGGGCGGAACTTGAGTAATGATGGGCGGGGCTCGGGTAGTAGGGGCGGGGCTCGGATGTCGAGGGGCGGGGCTCGCGTGCCGAGGGGCGGGGTTGGGCTCTTTGTTTTCCCGCGCGCGGCACAAAGAAGCGCAAGATGGCGGCCGTAGTGCAGAACCCGCTCAAGGCGTAAGTGACCGCGTCGGCTCACGACCACCTCGACCCGCCACGTTATCTTTTTCGCGTTGTCGGTGTCTCTCTCTCCATCGCACAAAAACTGCCTCGTCGCGTCGCCCTGCCACTCTTGATTAAAATCGCGCCACCAAATAATGTTCGCATGCGTGAGGGAGCGCGGTTTGAGGCGGTGTTGAGCTGAGGACGTGGCGACGCGAGACTCCGCACGCCTTCGCCTCATACACGCGCAATAAAAACGACGCGATTTATAAATGTTTACGTCTTTTTTTAAGCGGTGTATGTACGTCGCAACTCGCGCGAGGGGTTCTCGTCGTTACTCGACGTAGCGTGTCTTGTCGCGCTATTCTAATTGCAAAAGTTCTCGTCGGGAGTCACGGCCTCGCAGCTGTCTATAGTCTGTCAGCGACTATATCGCTCCTCATATAACAACACAATTCATACGAATATATATAGACACAAAGATAGGATAATCGTGTTTGCGCTGTGCGTGGACACGTTGATCCGTGACAATGGCCGCAGCCTCGGCCACGTTTGACCGGAACCGTCGCTTACAATGGGGGTCACGGTGACCGGGTCACCCAGGGGAAGCCGCCGTATTTTCTCTATAGTTATTGTTTTGCCTTTATATTCGAGTTCACTGTAGTTATTGTTTCATGTTAATACAATGCTATTCTGTTTGTTGTGTGTTGAGGCGATGGTCAAATACGAGAGCGACCTTGGTTGCGCAGCCGTTGATGCCGTCACTGGCCGTGATGGCGTGGGGCGTGAATGAGTTAAATCCCATCCCCCATTGCTCCCATCTGTGCGTTAAGACTGCCTCTCCCCCCACCATCAGTAGTATATCCAATTCCCATTGCTCCTACGCGCGTGTTGAGATGCATGTGCTCGTTAACAGCACTTTCCCCGGCAGTCTGAAAGGATATTTGTGAGGGGGTGGTTTGTCTTTGTATTAAAATGTCTTCATTGACCAGTGCGATACACACCACGGTGTTAACATGCCTCATTGCACCTCTCTTTCTACTCTGTACCAAAACCATACCCAAAACGCCCGTGTGTATACCGTATTAACTATATCGTTCCTCACCTTGGTGTGTATTTTAGGCCACAACCTGAGAAGCCCCTGTGTGTGAATGTACTATCTCTCCCTTTGCTGCTTGGTTTTGTTTGGTTTTAACACCATCATGCTTAGATCCCCTGTATATATTAAAACGACATACCCACGTGTTAAACACCGGCATTCCCACGTGGTTGCATTGAACCTTTCACTGCAATGCCTACATGCGTGCGTTACACTTCTGTGTTTGTGTATGATATCCAAACTCGCAGCCTCGGAGACCAGTTCTACAGGGAGGCGATAGAGCATTGCCACAACTACAATGCACGGCTGTGTGCTGAGAGGAGTGTACGGCTGCCCTTCCTGGACTCGCAGACGGGTGTCGCGCAGAACAACTGCTACATCTGGATGGAGAAGCGGCATCGTGGACCTGGTCCGCGCAGCCTCTCCCCCAACATTTTTGGTTTCAGATTGAAATACTTCACATAACACGCACCCATAAAACCCACCAACAACTCTTACAGACACAATACAGTATTTGTGTCCCAGGCTGTCCGACATTGGTTTGCTTCTTCGTTCATGAAAATAGAATTACAATGTCATTAAGCATGATAGCACTCCAGTGACGTCGCTGTTCTCACGACCATGCTTTATTAATACATTATTGCAGAGATGCCTTAGAGTGTGTTATTGTTCCATTTTTATGGTTACTTTTTTCCATGAAAAAAACATCACATTTTTTTGGGTCCCTGTGTGTTACTACATTTAGGGAGTGACCACAGGGCTATCCGCCAAAGTGTAGCAACACAATAAGAGCTAGTTTTTTTTGGTTGACTAACGTGCATATCATTTCAATGCAAAGGAGCACTGAACAGGTTATTTTGAGTTGGTGGACAAGTAACCGTGGAGGTCCATGAATTCCATGAATTGTAAGGGACACAGCTTGTGGCTTCCCTTACCATAGTTCATGGTTGTGTTTTATGACTGTCTATAAGAGTTGGGTGCGTTTTCTTACACCCGTACACTGACATGGTTTTCAATGAGCAGCATTTTACAAACTAGTGCCCATACAACCCTATGGTGCCAATTTGCATGTTGACCATCTGGGAGATGAGTGGAATGTATAATTACCCTATTTGCGTTTGAATGGATGTTATTAGTGCACGTGGAATTATATGCTTTAGGGATATACATGGAGTTAACATAGCTGCATAATTTTGGATCTTACATTTTCAGTTTGAACAGAGATATAAACCCTGTTTTCCTATGGTGATAATCTTAAAGGTGATTACCAGTGAACCATGTGTGAAAGTAGATGCTCTCGTTTAGTTGAAAACAAGCTGTGTGAAGTGTTAGCTTCAGAAAGCGGCAAATGGCAGAGCTCGCTCCGTGTTGGTGTGCTTGTGGTGTTGGGTGGAGCAGGCGTTGCGCCAGGACAGCTCTACACATACCCAGCACGCCGCTGGCGCAAGAAGAGACGGCTTCCACCACCCGAGGATCCACGGCTCCGAATAACCGATATCAGACCAGGTCAGCATCTCTTGTCGTTGGCTGAAGTGAAAGGTTGAAGTAATAGAAACGCAGCCAGTTTGCCCTTAAATTGACAGGTTTTCACAGCTGCCTGGTAATTTCTGCTGGGAATTAACGGAAGCGTGTTTGGTGTTGTAAAACGGACATTAATAGCTCTGGTATGTGCAACTGCAGGCTATGCACGTTCGTGTCGTGGTTCAAAGTCCAAAATAAAAATTTACTACACCTTGTCTAATAAAAACTCTCATTGTAGCTATGGGTACCTAGACCTGGAAAACAGTTGACCTTAATGGTAAAATATCAGTGAATTGAAATGACCATAACTGAACATTATTAACAAATGAACCTTATGGCGGGACCCCGGGGTCCCATAAGCCCCCGGCTCTCACATAAACATAATGTAAACAAAAACTTTTCTCTTTTCCGCCAATGGGTTTGAAGGATGGTGGCAAGTGTTGTCTTGTTAAACTATGCCTTTAAACTGAAAACTACTTACCTGCAGTACCTCTATTTAAATACACTAGCGAAAAAATTCTTTACACTCCTCTGTCAACAATCATTGTGCTTCTCAGTGTGGATTTGTGAATGCTCTTTGTGAACAGTATATAAAATATTACGCGTTTTCAATGTGCTGTTCATATTGTAACAATCGTTTATACCAATGTTACTCTACGGAGTAGTGGGTTGCCGCTCTTATCTGCATTGATACCAGCAGTATGTGGAGAATATGGCTTGACCGCAAAAAAAAAAACCTACCTGCACAGATGCATACGGACAAGAAAAGTATTATCAAACAGGAGGAATTAACGGTGCAACGCATCTCATGTGTTAAATATCTGCAGGTAATAGGATTGTCAACAATTGATCCTGGCTGCAGATATTGGTAGGTCAAAAAATAATCATGGAGATGAGAGCAGTTTCACTGTATTACGCATACCGTTATGACAAATAAAGGACTTAAGTCGTGTAGGCAGTTTGAGCAGTTTTGGATAAGACTTATGATCCTGCCCATACCCGAGCATGGAGTGCATTCACTCTTCTGCGCATTCATCCTCGCTGCTGCGCTTGGACAACATAACAGAATGATCCGTGCCTTGTGGGTCGTGGCGTTTATGTGCGTGGTGGGACGGAGTCGCCAAAAATAAATTAATTACGATTTTGACTTCCGTTTATTCGGGACCCTGGGGTCCCGCCATAAGGTTCAAATTTGCAAGTACGTTTAACACAACACAACCATTTTTATGTAAATGATAAAAAATGGTGGTAATGCAAGAACTGTCACGGTTGCTGTTTGAGTCTTGGGTGTTTCGTTTACAGAAAGCGAGGTGCCTGTGAAGAAAGACCCAGAATGCTCTAGCCTGGAGGTGCTGCTCCGTGGAGACATGACGGAACGCAAAGGCGTTGACACCCGGGAAGATGACAGTATCAGCGAGTTCCAGGTACCCTCAGCTTAGCCTTTGTGCGGGTGTAATCATCTGGCAGAGCCTTTTGCACTGTTTACGCTTATCTCCACTCCATTCGTTTACAGAGAGTCTTTGATGCCGAAGATTATTTGGACGATTTGGACGATGAAGATTACGAAGAGGACACGCCTAAACGCAAGCCCAAGAGCAAAGGACGGGTATGGACTGTGAAGAATTGCAAACATTCTAAGGTGTATTTAAGTGCCGGATATAAAATATAGTTTGAAAATAGTGTATTGGTTGTACTTGCAGAAGTAATTTATTTTGTGTGCATGTATAAAGGTATCTTGTTTTAATTTTAATGCAAAAAAATGCATCTGACAATACCGCTGCAAACAGATGCAGTTAAAAAGAATGGAAATGCTGCATCATCAGCGTGAGCTGTAGCCTTGGGGACTGTTATTCTTGTGCTGCCCAGTGGGTGGTTGTGGGTACTTTGTATTCTGTAGGCAAAAGGGAAGCGTGTTTATAAGAAGCAGTCTGAAAGACAAGTGGAGAGTCCTGCTGATGAGCAGGACAAGGGTGATATGAGCTGTGAAGCAGGCAACAGTGTAAGTTTGAAACGCATGAGAAGGGGGTCGTTGGATGGGGCATGGGACATCCTGTTGTTTTATTAGACGTTTTAATTTAAGGAGGATTCGCCGTTATGGAACAATAGTACAGAAAAACGATTTGGCTTTCAGAATTAAAATACCTGTTGCAGGTTAGGATTTTTGGCAACTATTTTACATTAATATGTGAATCCTTTGCTTGTGTAAATACAAGTTAGTTTACATGCAATTACTAAAAACTACATTCATTAGGGAAATAGACTGTTGTATAACATTTATTGAACCTCCTTAATGCTGATGACCTAAAGCTACCATTACATTACAGCGATTACAATTATTTTGCTTTTGCATGACATTGTCATGTTAGCATTTTGAGTGTTTGAAACACCATTGCAATGGGCTTATCAAGTGCAGTCTTGTCTGAAGGTGTTATGTAGATGTTGCTTTTACTCATTTTTGCAATCGAGTTGCATTTAACTGTGGCATGGTTGGTCACATTGCTGCAAGCTGCATGGGTTTTGTGAAGCATTGACTGCTTGCATGCCATACCTAAATGGTCAATTCATTTTCCCATCAATCAGGTTGTGTTTCCATGACCCTCAGAATAGCATGCGTACTGCAGGTTGCACTGGCCGTTTGTTTATCGAGTGTTCTTGCTTCCTGTACCCTGATCCTCCAGGGCAAGGCAGCAGCTGGGACCAGGAAGAAGAATGAAGCAGCAGCACAGGAGGATAAAGACAAGCCGTATGCATGCGACAGTGAGTACCGGTGTGGAGAACTCTGCAGAAACAGTCTGTCCGTGATACAGAGCAAGTCCTTGAAAGCTGTCTTTGAAACCTAAACCTTTTCAATGTTTGTCTGCCATCATTCTAACTTTTACATCTGTTCTTTGATTTCTCTTTTTTTATTTGTGTTCATCTGATCTCTCTTTTTCATGCCTTTTTCTCTTTCCCTTTCAGATAGTTACAAACACAAACGTAGCTCAAAAGCGTCTGATAAAGGTATACACCCTTGTGTTATTGAAACTGTAAATAAAGGTGCTTGCACAAAATTAACAGTTGATGAGCAATATAATAATTTTAACAGTTGTGATTTAAACCGAAGAGTGCTCATTAAAGTAATCAACTTTTTGGTCAAATTTATGCAACATTACAAAAAACGTTAAAATAACCCGTAAATATTCATGAAGAATACCACCTGCTGCTTGTTTATTTGTTATGCATTCTGCATTTAATAACCCTGAAGTCAATGAAAAATTACTAACAATTTAAATTTTAGATGTATGGCTTTTGCAAATACCAAAGGCTATGTAACATTGCATGTTTATTATTGAACCAGTCTTTTGTACAGTATTTGTAATATCATACTAAGCATTTTATACCTCTTTGTTAACTGCATTTGTTCTGGCTTGCTGTAATTGGTATTTTTGTAATGTTATGTATATAGTATTTTTTGCTGTACATGCGGCTCAATCTTTTTAATCACATTGAACCTATGCGAGAAAAAAAGTGCGGAATAGATAAGCCCTTGCAGATGGCGTGCTGCTTCACACTTCACAGGATACGTTTTCTGTTTCTCTCTGGTGAAGTTTGCGGGAAGCGGTACAAGAACCGTCCTGGGCTGAGCTATCATTACACGCACAGCCACTTAGCGGATGAGGAGGGCGAGGACAAGGACTCGCGGCCCGCCACACCTGTCACGCGCCGCTCGGAGGACCGCAAAGGTTAGCCCGTTGCGTTTGTTCACTGGCTGATTTTTTTTTAGAGCCTGGCACCGTTTGTCAGATGTGGCAAGGACATTGGGCTGAGCTTACCAAAGCAAGATACACAGTGCGGTTTGAAAAGGAGTTCACCTTATTCTTTGGGTCTTTCAGTAAAGCCACGTAGATAAATAAAATAAAAAATATTAAAATAATAAAAATAATACCAATCTTCTTTGGTTCTTTCGGTAAAGTCACGTAGAATAAGAATAAAATAATAAATTGATAAAATAAAATAACAATATTCTCACGACGTTTCGGCCACAACACAAGCGGCCTTCATCAGGTGAAGGGACGAGACTGTCTGGTAGGACAGCGCTGGAGTGAAAAAGCCACGCTCAGATCACGACCTTTAAGCTGTGTGAGAAGAAACAAAGCGCCTTGACAAAGGAATTCGCATATAATTTAGCATTGAAATGGCTGAGTGATTAGCTTGTGACTGGTCACAGAAATGGCTATGTTAAAGTTAAAGCATACACATCTGCAGAGGCACCCCTTGACAAACGGGTGCCTCTGCTTGACAAAGGGGTGCCTCTGCGGATGTGTATGCTTTAACTTTAACATAGCCATTTCTGTGACCAGTCACAAGCTAATCACTCAGCCATTTCAATGCTAAATTATATGCTAATTCCTTTGTCAAGGCACTTTGTTTCTTCTCACACAGCTTAAAGGTTGTGATCTGAGCGTGGCTTTTTCACTCCAGCGCTGTCCTACCAGACAGTCTCGTCCCTTCACCTGATGAAGGCCGCTTGTGTTGTGGCCGAAACGTCGTGAGAATATTATTGTGTTATTTTATTTTATCAATTTATTATTTTATTCTCATTCTACGTGACTTTACCGAAAGAACCAAAGAAGATGAATCCTTGCAGTCACGAAAGCTTTAAATCGAAAAATAATACCAATATTCTTTATTATTATTTGATCTATCTACGTGGCTTTACCAAAAGACCCAAAGAATATGAATACCTGCAGTCACGAAAGCTTTAAGTCAAAGAGTTTACCGTTTGTCATTAGTTAACCGTCTGCATTTATTAATGACATGCTTCTGTTTTTGTTGTTTTTAGCCAAAAAAGGTCCTGATGGGCTGGCAAACCCTAACAACTACTGCGATTTTTGTCTGGGCGGCTCTGTGGAGAACAAGAAGACAGGACAACCGGAAGAATTGGTTTCCTGTTCCGACTGTGGACGTTCTGGTAAGTTCTTGTCGCTCTTATCTTTTGTATATTTATTACATTTTATTGATTGCATTAAGTGAGGTGATGTTTGGAAATTGGGCATTGTAGTTTTCATTGTACTTAATTTGCAGTGGCGCACATTGCTTCACCAATAAGCAAAGTGTTTGGTCTAATCAAAGCCTTCTGAACATTCCATACACTTGAAAGGTACAAGTAACTTTCAGTGATTAATTTTTTGCATTTTAAACTAAAAGAGGCTATGGCCGCTGCATATTTGAGTTTTCAATATAAATAATATTAAATAGTGAATTGTGACAATTATATTCTAAATGATGTTTTAGGTTTACAAAAACTAGCTGTTTTACTGGACAGCACATAATGCTTCACCTTTTTAAACATCGCTCATTTTTTTCCGTTGTATTGATGAAAAGTTGAAAAAGATTTACAGCATTAACCATTTGCTGCTGGTCGTGTGAATAAGACATTGCATTAACAGCATTATTAGGTTACATTTTTTCTGCATTCGCCATTTGATAAATCTGGTGCAGTTTTGCTACGTTTTTGTTAGTTTTGTTCTTTCACCATGCATGAGAAAGATTGAGTGACTGTAGCTCCTGTGTTTGTATCACGTCCTGCACATGTTGGCGGTGCCAGAGCGTGAAGTCTCGGAAGTGGACAGGCGCATTGTAGAGGAGTTGTTTGCAGCCTCCGATAGCGACTGTTCTACGTTTCTGGGATTTGGTGAAGACGATTACCAGGAGCTGCTTTGCAGTGATGACTTGAATGGCCATGCACACTAAATGCAACAAATACCTCTCAACGTTAAGTGTAATTATGTACTAGGTAATGTTATTCTGCGGTTAGCATCCTTTCAAGTGCAAAGGTTTGTAGCACTGAAAAGCAAGGAGACTTGCAGTACACAGACAATTTTATTCTATGTTCATTTGAGCGTAATTGGAAAGAAAATAATGTAGATTTTTTTAGAGTATTACATGTTATTAGGAGTTTATTTTTTTACCACAGCCTGTGAATAAAAAAGAGATACTGTAGTTTGTACATTCAAAACGTAGTTTCAATACGTTTATGCTTTTAGTTTTAAAAGTTTGCATTGAGAGCTGCAGTTTGCACACTGTATTTGTGATAGTAATTTGTTTGCTTACCTCAAGAACAACTTTATTTAATTAGCAATGCTTTCTATTGAAAGTCTGTAAACGAATGATTTGTTGAAAGGCAGACAATTTTTAACTCGTACATTATGGAGCATGGGGGTGACTAGCTTATTAGCTAATGCTGGCCATCATCAGTAGCTCCTCAACTGGGTGATTCATAAGTGGCGTGGAAAGGCCCATCTCTTAATGAACAGTGTCAGGTATGTCCCTTTGCTTTACATTAATTTCCACATCATACTTCTTACATTACAATCTCAACAACTGTTAAATTGTAAAAGTTTGTGTGCTTTTTAAATGTAGTATGACCCTCAGGCGCTGGGCAGGCAGTTGGCCATTCCATTACAGAGATGGTTCATTGATGGTGTTGGCACACTTGTGCTATATGATCTTTTAGGGTCAATACACATCTCAGATTATTTTGTTAACTTATTTTTAAGTTAAAAGCATCCATTATTTGTGGGTCATGTGAGTCTCGAGGTCACAATGTTAGCTTGCCAAGAGATTAACATCGTAAATCTTGACTTAAAGCTTTCTGGACTGCAGGAATTCATATTCTTTGGGTCTTTTGGTAAAGTCACCTTTTTCCTGATGATGACCGCTTGTGTTGCGATTGATCGAAACGTCGTAGTTTTATTTTCTTTGAACCTATCTACTTAACTTTACCGAAAGACCCAAAGAATAAGATTAACATCTTGTTGGGTAATCTGTAGAAGGTAAACAAAAAACTACCACCGTGTTTTTACTCTTTGCTTGTAAGTTATGATATTTTATAAAAGCAAGAGTGCCGTTAATGGCATTGAATCTGGATTTAACATGTCTTTATGAGGTTGAGATGAAGTGCTCTGAATGTTAACTATGTTTAACGTGTTAGCACACCCTTTTAAGAATACTTGGATTTTGGCTTCAGTGGGTTAGTCTAAAATGTTTGTATGCTAATGAACTACTGTTGAAATATACTGTGACACTTAATTTATCAGTGGGTGAGATAGTTTTCCAGGCAAATCTAACATTTGCATTGCTTAAATAATTGGTAGAATAGCCTACATTTTAAAACATTTCAATTGGACTGGGAAACATGTTTCTGCACATGGAAAGTAATGGATTTGCATCCTATCATTTTTAATTTTTTATCAACTTTGATACCATTTCTATTTTTGGTTGATAAATGTTAGTGTTTTTTTTTCTTCAGGAAAATGTATTTGCCTGCAATGAAATTTTTGGTCTATTAGTATTTAGTTGTGTTCTCAAATTACTGCAATAATTCTTGAATATTGCAGGGCCAGAAATGTTGATTGTAATTTGCATGCTTTGATTTTAAGTTTTTGCATACCATTGGGTCATGTGGTGATGTTTGTAAATGTTCTTTTAACAAATCTCAGTGATGGGTTCTTTTATTCTATGCATTTGATGAACTGCCACTGAATATTACCTATTGAAAAAAATCATACTTAAATTTTCAATGAGATGTAAATTTGTTAACTGCAATAATTCGGCATTAGAATGATTTGCAATTTTACGGTGGTCGCATATCAATGTAATGTTATTGGTTCAGTTGTGGAATGAGTTGTAATGTGTAAAGTATTAAAAGCAATCTTATTTATTCTTAATAAAGCTGTTTGCACTTTATACAGTCTCTGTGTATTTTTTTGTGCAAAACATCACATTCTCTGAAACTGCTTATTGTAGACACCTTAGGGCCATTGGCATCCTGACGAAAAATTGCGCTCCTAAGCCTAAATGAATTCTGTAACCTGGCTGAGCTGTCGTGTGATGGCTGTTAACACGAAGCAGTAGGTCTTGTTCTGCCCAGCAGCTAAAGGGTTAATGCTGTATTTAATATAATATCTTGTATGTGTGTCTTTGCTCACGGTTTTTAACAACCAGTCTGCCTTTTTGCACACCCCGTAGGACACCCGTCTTGCTTGCAGTTCACTTCAAACATGATCGCCGCCGTCAAGACTTACCGTTGGCAGTGCATTGAATGCAAGTGCTGCAACATTTGCGGCACCTCTGAGAATGATGTACGTACGGGGACACCATCGTTCATTCTAGAGGCAGACATTTCCACTTTTCCTGTAATTGGCTTGGCGGATTACATAACATTGTCACAGTAATGACAAGTGTTCACCTTCATTGCAGGACCAGCTGCTGTTTTGCGATGACTGCGACCGTGGTTATCACATGTACTGTCTCAGCCCTGCCATGTCTGAGCCCCCAGAGGGTAAGAAACAGTTTAAATTCCACCATGAAATGACAACTTCCGGGTCAATGTAATTTCATTGTATAATTGGAAAAGCATGCACTGAAACGGTCTTGCAAATACTTTTTTTCAGACTTTGTTACATTTGCTTAAAGCTTTGAAACTTAATTCTGCTCGTCTTATTTGCAGGAAGCTGGAGTTGCCGCCTTTGCCTGGACTTGCTCAAAGAAAAGGCATCTGTCTATACCAACCAGTCATAAGATGGGGTCCTAGATACCAACATCTTCGAATGATGACTCAGTTCTCAAGGGCATACCCAATTAGTAAACCCAAGTTTGAGCCACGGTTTGTCTCCTGTTGCAATTGGTATCTATTGAGTGTAGCTGAGAACCAAGAATGTAATGTCTCTAATGTATTGTTACAGGTAGGTTTTTTTGACTTCCGAAATTAACCCGTTGTTGATATATTTGCGCATCAGATGACATGACTGTTCTACATTTACTTTGTCACCTATATGGAGGGGTGTTCGTGCAGCTTGACAACTGATCCATAGAAATTCAGCATGGGCATTATGTCTCTGATTGCGCGCTCGGAGGAGGTAAACAATGCAATCATTTTCTAACATTGTAACCATAAATGCCTTAATAGTGGAGTATTTTATATCACAGTGGCCAATAGAATCTGAGTAGACCTAATGTACAACAACCAGATCCTATGTAATTTGTGTGTATATGCGCCAAATTTTGAGAAGTTTGTAGATTTTATTTTTATGCTGTGTACCTGCTTGTGGAAAGGAGAGCAGTACTTTCCACAGGCCTTTTTTGTAAGAGTTTTTTTGCCTGTTTGGCCATCCTTAGCAGTCTGGTGTATCTTACTGGACGTTGGGTTGGCTCCCCATGAGGGTGTGTTCACTGCCATTGCTTACCTAGGTACTACATGCTTTGGGTACCAACCATCCCCTGTGTGCTGGTTGTTTACTCAGTGCTGTAATTGGTCACCTATTATGCCAAGGTCTGCAGTAAGTAGTTACTGTGTACTGCAGCTGATGTTTTTTTTATTACTGTAATGTTCAAGCTTGCTTAGGGATTTAGAAGAAAAATAATAAAAGGATGGTACAATAGAATGTATGGTCATAAAATGAATAAATCAATTGAACAGATTTGTTTTGGTAGATGCCATAACGTGCATATAGTGCCTATGTAGGGTATTAGTTTTGTTACTTTTGAAAAATTCTCATTTAAAAATTAACCTAGTGTAATGTGTGGTGTGATCTGGTCTGTATACTGTTAATAAGCAGACAAAAAGATGACAAAGTGGCTGGCTTGTAAACTTTTTGTAAAAAGAGGTAGATTATGCAGTGTACACTGTAGTTATCTCACATAGTTAATATAGAACATTCAAGGTGTTGATGGTACTTCTCAATATATTAAGATGGTAGGGGGGGGGGTGTACCGGTATAATTGCTGGGGATCATTGTTACTATCAACTCATGCTGCTCGGCATATTAACGGTGTTTTACTTTAGAGCGCAGCAGCTGTCCATAAAAGGTACTGTCGTAATATTGCAGTATTCTTAATTGCTGAATAGACTCCACATATATCGCCTCTTATGGGTGGAAATATATTCATAAATAAAAACCCCATTGTGCTTTTAGTAGCTTGTGTAATCAAACCCAACTTAAACTCCATTTGACATTTCTAGGTTTTTGTAATTAGTGAATAGCTTTCATTTAAGGAAGAAAATGGCACCCTAAATATAGTAGTTGCCTTTTTTCATAACTGTTTTCTGTTTTTGGCAAAAGTCATGATCATGTTCCCTGCACAAGAGAAATAGCCCGTTTGTTATCCTTTGGTTTTAAAGTGTACCGTGTAGCCGGAATAAATGCTTGCTTGACCGTCTCTCACCATTAGGTCATCAGCCGTGTTCCCACAACGTGAGGAGGCACTCCCAATAAAGATGGCCACTCCGTAGTGTTATTGACAGAGCATTTTATTGTATCATGTTGTCCGTGTTAAACTATTGCAGAACACCTAAATACCTGAGGTTACTAATGCTGTTGCCGGCACATGCTTCTCCACAGGGGTCCAGAGTGAATTTCAGGAAGTGTCCTTTGTGTTGGAGAGATTGCGTACCGTAGGTTAGACTTAATGCATATGCTGGACGCTGCACCAAGTGATCGTGAATTTTGTACCACCGACTTCCACTTTCCACCACCTGATTGAATGTCTTGGCGTATTATACGAGAGCTGCGAGCTTTATAGGATTAAAGTTGACTTTTTATGACTGAAGGTTTATGTAGAGCACTGGCCCGAAAGTTGAATATACAGATACGTAATTTATGCACCTACATAAGTATAGCTTGAGTAATACAGAGCCCTTGTGGAGACGTGTTTAATTACAAGCAACATTGGGTTTGTCAATAATGTCTCAAGTAAATTGGCTTAGCTTACAAGTTGTGCTTGATGGAAAAAAAAACAGGGTATTCATTTAACGACAAATATAAATTGCTTAAAATAAAAACAAATCTTTGTCCTGGTTATAGTGGCACTTTTGTGGTTTAAGTTTGTCACAAGCTCTTGATGAACAGCGTTTGTCAGTGCTCGCACTACCCAGTAACATTGCTTTAAAGTAGATATCACCGTACCGTTGTTATACCCTATTTTCTGAAGCAAGTGGGGAGTACCCATGTGCTATATTTGATATAAAACATTTCTGTACAGGATATAAAATATCAGAACACAAATGTGAGTGGCGGTAATGTCCAAGTGGTGGGCGTGTGGACACATCAATTAGCAGCACATGAGAAGCGTTAGCAAAAGAAGTTGATCTTGCTTCCAGGCGATGTCTCAGGATCCCTTCCCTCGAGACTCGTGAAGGCTTAATTCGATGAAGCCGCTCTGGCAGATGATGGTCTGTGTCTTCTGCCTCTTAAGGACAATTCCTGCACACAATATAATGCAGTATGCGTATTACAAGGTAAACTGAATTGACGTGAAGAGCGAAACTATATGCTGTATATTTTACTTATATGGATGGCTTGGGGTTTTTGAAGCTGATGTAGACAAAAGCTGAAATGGAGAGCTGATGTGGATGGAAAAGCAGTCCATAGCTTTGGCAACAAGTACACATGCAAATGCACAATTTTTTTTTAATTTGCTTTGTAAAATGTTTTTTTTACACTTCCAAAATAAAATGCATGTCTCAGAGCTGCACTTGTTTGCAATGCCGATTTTGGCGGGTTGCAGATCATGTCCAGCAGTGGATGTTGTGGACGTTTGGAAGAAATGGGTAGATGCACGGAGCAGACGGAGTGGAGCCGACAGTGGAATAATGATGCTGCTCTATTAAAGCAACGCGCATACAAGGACCCTTTGTACCTCTGCCCTCGGGTGAACACCTCAAAACAAGTTCATACTTTTCTGTGCACAAGGAAACAAACCGTTTTCTGCCTTAACGCATTTCACCAAAATACACTTGTACAGGTGACTGACATTTGTCCTCCAAAGTTGTGTAGAAAACGTGTGTGTGACCCACCACATTCCGCGTGAACTTCTCAAACGAAGTCCGTCTGTCTTGGTCGTGGTCAGACTTGGAAAATTAGGACATTAAATATAAAAAAAATGCTGTATTAGACTAAAACCGGGGTGCTTGCATTTAATATTTCTGTAAATGTACAAACGTTGCAGTAATTTTCAAATGTAAAAATGGTCATTTTAATGCAGTGTTGGTTACCATCTTTCTGGCCGCCAGAAGTTCTTGGTAGTTGTTGGACCGCAGGAATCTGGCGTAGCTGTCCGTTTTCATCAGCATGTAAATGTGCTCCTGTTGAAATAACGCAGGCCAATGCAAACCTCTGACTTGATATGTAATCACTTCACAAACAGCTCTCTTTGCCCACTACAGAATATTTTTTGCTGTGGTTGTCCCGCCTGATGACGGAAGCTTGTGTTGCTTCCGAAACGCCGTGATTTAATTATTACATTTTTTACCTACGTGACTTTACCGAATAAAACCAAAGAGTATGGATTCTTGCAGTCACGAAAACTTCAAATCTAGAATCAATGCAAATCAAATTTTGATTTATTGTTTTATATATATTTTATTGTTTCCCTTCAACGTGACTTTACCGAAAGAGCTAAGAATAACAATGCAAACCAATTAAGATCGGTATGCAACACTTTACTTTTCAACCTCAGACACTTGACAAAGCTGAAACAAACATTTGATTGATGGAAACAACACGGACATGGAAATTAAAAGTTTTAAGTAAAGCTAAAGAATCCTATACTCGGTTCTTTCAATAAAGTCACGTGGAAGGTAAATAATAAATTAATACAAATAAAACAATTAAATTCTCACGACGTTTCGATTTCAACACAATCATCAGGTGTGCAAGAACATTTTCTTGATGGTTACTTGTGTTGCAATCGAAACGTGAGAATTTTATTGTTTTGATTTTATTATTTCCCTTCGCCGTGACTACCGCAAGAACCAAGAATATGAATCCCTGCAGTCACGAAAGCTTTAAATCGAAATCTAAGGAATCCTGTCAGTGGTGTACAAGCACCACAACTCCGTGGAAGCAGTCTGCATGTTTTTACTAGTCCGTCACCATATTAAACACATGGGAAATTAGAAACTGTAGAGGAAGAAAACGTATTATTAACGAAGATGGTTTTATGCCAACATGTGATCATGGGGAGTGAACTTTAAGCTAGTAGCGCTGAAGCCACTCACGACTTGCCATGTCACTCGGATCTTTCGATTCAGGGGAAGAATTCTGACTTTCCCTGGATTGTAAACCAGGGAAAGTTTGGATTGTTATATTACATACACTCGCACAACCGCAACCTTTACAAAGCTGTTTCAGTCACCAGCCAATCCGTTGATGGAACGACTATACCCCTGTCTGATCTCACATGAGGGCAGACCTGCGGCACGTGACGGTGGGGGGAGGGGGGAGATGCGGCCTAGACCTGCGCATCCTGGAAGGCGAATCGGCCGGGTTCCCGCACGTTGTGTGCTGTGCGCTCGAAGCTGTGCGAGTCGAGGTTGATGGTGTTGGGTGCCCCAGGCTCCAGGAACTCTTGCCAGATCTCCCGGGCACGATCTGCCACCTTCCGCAGCGGCAGGCGCTTAAGTTCCTGCACAGCCACCCAGAACCTGGGGCACGGCACACGGGTATGATCTGGCATTATTATCTCTACGCGTGCCACAATGTCCCAGTGGTCTGCAGAGGTATACTGGAACTCGCGATCTCGACCACCCAACGTCACCGTATTGCAGGGGTTTATTCGATGAGACCAGGAATCGACTTGTAATGGAAGTTTATAAAATCTGTAGATCTGGTTTGGGGTTAAGATCATCTCAGGGTTTTGTGTGGGATTAAAAAAGGATTGTGCGTTGGATGACTCTTTTGAGGAGATAGAGTTTCTGCTCTGGATGAGGTAAGCGTTCTGTATTGGCTGAGAAAGTGTCGTTCCTGGATGAGATGAGAGTTTTGACTTGGATAGGACAAACTGGAATTTGATGAGGTGGAGGTTGTGTATTGAATGAGACGTGAGGTCCGTAATTAATCAAAATAAGAGTGACGCTCTGCATAAGAGAGCTAATCGTGATGGAGGTGGTGTCCGGTTGCGTAGCTCCCTCACTCACTGCAGGTTCTCAGAGCTGAACTCTGACTGCAGGAATCGCAGGAATTGCTCCTGCCCCACCGAGTCCTTGAGCACCTCGTCCATGCAGAACCCCCACCGCAGCACCCGCTGGTGGCTCGGCTCTTTTCTGCACGGCGGAGTGGGGGTGGCGGTAGACAACGGCACGGTCAGGGGTGGGTGGGGTGGGGTGCACAGAAGGTGTCTGCTGGTGGTGGTGGTGAGTGATGGCGAGCGGCGGTCGAGAGTTGTCGGGAGTGTGCAAGGGGCCTGTCTCCAGGGCGCACCTGGTCTCCAGCTCCCAAAAGCTGGCGTCGTCGGATGCCCAGGGGTTGGAGGGGTCTGGCGGCGTCAGAAACGGGTCGTAGTCCGTGTACTGCTCCGAGTAGGCGATGAGGCTAGGGCATCAACGGGGGGGAGGGGAGGGGGGCAGTCAGTCAGGGAGCAAGCGCTTTGGAATGGGTTCTCCGCTCACTGCCATTGCTGCACGCCAGGTATGCAAGGACGCGCCACGGTGGCGAGACGTTAACTACCTCGCCTGGTCTACAGGAGGTTCCATCCCCGACCCTGACGCCTGCTGTATATTTGCAGTTTGCGTGTCTCTCTTCCCCGTGATAGTGTGGATTTCTCTGCGTGACTTGCGGTTTACCCTTCCACATTAAGAAACGTGCGTTTAGACTTTAAGAGTATTTGGCTGCTCTGAATTTCCACGTGATAAGCCACTTCGTTGAGCTGTAATTTGTGGCCGAGCGGGCCTTACCTGGTCAAATAAACATAGTTAAATTTATGTATGTTGACATTCTTTTGCACCCTACGTAGCCAGCCGTGCTCATCGGAGGTGACAGGCGGTCTAGCCCCCACCCCTATCCTACAGATATCCACACTGCGATTCTATTTTGCTTATCGTGCCAGTTGAATGGTGGCTGCGACGATGGCGAGCGTGCAATGTTTCTCCATATTTTGTTGCCACCAGATGGCAGACGTGTCACGGTTGCAGGCTCCTTCGAACAAGGACACAGCATATTCTTCGGGTCTTTCGGTAAAGTCACGTAGATAGGTTGAAAGAAAAGAATAAATACAAACTACGACGTTTAGACCACAACACAAGCGATCGTCATCGAAACGTCGTAGTTTTTTAAAAATATATTTTCTTTCAACCTCTCTACGTGACTTCACCGAAAGACCCAAAGAATATGAATTCCTGCAGCCACGAAAGCTTTATGTCAAGATTTAAGGACGCAGCAGTGCGGCTCGCTATTATTATTTTTATTTTGCGTCTTCTGAGGCTGCAACGATAAACGTACCGAAGAAGCGACACTCCTTCATGGACACGTTCACTGCAAGTAGGATCCGAGCGCGATTGTCATTCGAACAAAAGTGGTTCGGGCGAACTGAGAGGTTGATTTGGGATGACGGGCACGTCGGAAATGGTTACATGTCACAAGTCATAGGGACACGGGTTTGGAACGTCAATCACATAAATAGCTCAGAAGTTGCGTTTTCGAAAGAAAGAAAAAAAACCGACTGCCCCGTTGAATATTTGAAAATGGACAGGGACATCGGGCACGCTGCGCGTAATTGACTGGGGAATTCCTAAGGCCTCGCGTGGTTTGTTGTTGTTGTCTCAGTGCGGCTGCTCCACCCATTTGGTGAATGTCACCACGATTCAGAATCAGAATATGTAGTTATACTGGAAGGGAATCTGATGAGCTGTGAAGCTCTTTTCACAGATGTCCAGTTGGGGCGTCATGCGCCATGTAATTCGCGGTTTCTTTAAAAAGAATTCACACTCACAAGAGAGAGAATTATTGGAAGTTGTTGCCCTTACTGAACCTCTCTTGTACAACAATACCGCTTTGTTACGTATTCTGGCTTCGTCGGTGAGCATTTCCATTCATTTTAACCATGCCGCACATTTAGGTGTCCATCACCTCTGCTTATAATTTACCTCTTCCCCCACACTTACCTCGCTCCCACACTTATCTTGCTCCCACACTTACCTCTCCTTTACCTCTCCCCCACACTGACCTCTCCCCCCACACTAACCTCTCCCCCACACTTACCTCTCCTTTATCTCTCCCCCACACTGACCTCTCTCCCACACTTACCTCTCCTTGATCTCTCCCCCACACTTACCTGTCCGCCACTTTAGACGTTTTCATGCCGTGCCGCTCCATCTGCGCGTGCATGAACCGCACCTGAAACGGAGACGTCATCGTCACCATCACTATCATCATCACGATCATCATCACAATCACATTCATTCAAATCCCAGCCATGGCTAAGGGCAGTGGCTGGCGAGTGATACTGAACCATTCCTGGCACCAACCTCCCCTCCCACCCCACCTCCTCACCAACCCACACTGACCATCGTGGTTAACACTGACATGGGGAAGCCTTCATCTAGCAGTGAATCAATAACGCGTGGGACACAACGTGTTTGTAAACCCTACCTGCCGTTTGAGCTCCTCCACGCTTGGCCGTTTGACATCTGGAGGCGGCGAGGGTGGAGATCCGTCAGCCCGTCCCTCCTCCTTGAGTCCATAGACAGACTTTAGGTTTTTTTTTGGGGGGGGGGGGCGGTGGGGAGGGCGGGGGGGGGGGGGGGCGTTGGAGACGGGGTCAGTGTGGGGGGCGTGGGGACAGTGCCGGATTAAGCTCGTGCGGGGCCTGTAGAAAATGTAATAAAGGGGCCCTAAATAAAAACACACAAATATTCAAACAAGTTTTTAACTTGCATAGTAAAGTAACTGTATTTTTTCATTTACTATACAGCCAGATAATACGACAAATCGCTAACCTTAACACCCAGTCGTTTATAAAAGTTGAAGGCAGCATAGTAATAGAGCAAGTGCAGAATCACTGAACCGAAATTGATAGAGAACAGGTTTTCCCCTTTTTTATGGTAACAAAACATGTGTTAAGAAGTTAAAACACCAAACTGAAACCTTTCACAAGGAATCATGTCTGCATTAACCACAATACTTGTGGTCAGAATGCAAACAAAAACATACTCTGATAATATATGCATTGTCTTTGAAACTGATGGGTCCACACCAGAGACAGCTTTCTTTTGAGCCTCGTCTCAATCGGTGTTAGACCATGCTTCCTTGTGAAAGGTTTCAGTTTGGTGTTTTAACATCTCAACACCTGTTTTGTTGCCAGCATATTTTGGTACTGGCAAAGGAGGTCCCATAACGGAATTGATAGCTTGAAAGCATTTAGCGCGGGGCCCTTGAAAGTGCGGGGCCTGTAGCATGTGTAGCTACTTGTGCTACTGGGATAATCCGGCACTGCGTGGGAAGGGAGGATGGGGGCATGGCGGGCAGCACTTGGCACATCGGAGACTTAGGCCGTGTGGCGACAGCTGTCGCGTCTCCATGCACAACGCGGGAAAGGAGGTGGGAGGAGCGAGACAGCGGAGTAGCGTGGTTAGAGCATGGGGCCCGGTGAAAAGGAATGAAACGGAGCACCGTTGTCCGATGCCATATTATTGTGGAGATGCATGGGGCCTGGGACCCGGCGCAGTTGCACCGCCCGCACACTCGACAGCGACGCCAGAGTGAGGGGTCGCACCTTGTGAGCTCGCCCCGAGTTGATCTTGCGACTTGACTTCTTGATGTCCAACTCGAGGATGTTGACGCAGCCGGGCTGGCGGGGGCGGGAGTCACCACGGGCAATACCTTCAATACCTTCAATGCCACCACACCTTGCCGTCGCTTCCTTCCTTATGCTCGATTCCTCAGCTATTGCACAGTTGCGACAACTCAGTGTTCACTGTCTGCTCTTGCAGTTTCACCGCGAGCTGCCTATGAGCTATCGCCTTGTTAAACCGTCGACACCCGGACCTTTAAAGAAGCGCTCATACGTTCGCATCACCACCACCAGGGCTATAGCAACCAACCAACCACCACCACACTTTTACGTCGTCTGCCCTTTGATCAACCGACCTCTGGTTTGTCACTCCGATGTCTGCCTCGGCAAGCTGCCCTCCTCCGTTCTGCCACGCGTCCAACGGAGCGACTCTAAAGCAACTGTCGCCCAGAGCGTGGCTCTTGCCCATGGGTCTGTCCACGTGCTCAGCGCGGTTGGCATGGGCCCTCCTCCGGTCCCTGGACACCGGTGCAGAGTTGCACCTTACACACTCAATCGCTACGCCACTAACTACTGTATTCTTAAATAAAAAATGTTACGTTAAAAGGTAAGGCCGACTGAGTTGCATAGTTCTTTTTCAGAAGCGACCTGGCTATCACAAATGAGAGCTCAACGAAGTGGTGGCTTATCACGTGTGGAAATGTATAGCGGCAAAATACGCTGAACGCGCGTTCATTCTAAATGTGGAGGGAAAGACCGGATGGCCTGGAGAAAAATAGACGCGACCGCGGAGAGAGAGAGAACACGCGAACTCCAAATATACAGCAGGCGCCAGGGTCAAAATCGAACCCACGATCTCCTGTACACCTGGCGAGGTAGTTAACATCTCACAGTCGCCGTTCTCTGCTCAGACCTGGCTCCAACTCCTCTCGGATTCGGGGGGTGGGGGGCAGTAGAGCTGTTGTCTAGGGGAATGGGAGGCAGTAGAGCTGTTGTGTAGGGGGTGGGGGGCAGTAGTGCTGTTGTCTAAGGGGAGTGGGAGCAGTAGAGCTGTTGTCTAGGGGGAGTGGGGGGCAGTAGAGCTGTTGTCTAGGGGGAGTGGGGGGCAGTAGAGCTGTTGTGTAGGGGGTGGGGGGCAGTAGAGCTGTTGTCTAGGGGGGTGGGGGGCAGTAGAGCTGTTGTCTCGGGGAATGGGGGGCAGTAGAGCTGTTGTCTAGGGGGTGGGGGGCAGTAGAGCTGTTGTCTAGGGGAGTGGGGGGCAGTAGAGCTGTTGTCTAGGGGGAGTGGGGGGCAGTAGAGCTGTTGTCTAGGGGGAGTGGGGGGCAGTAGTGCTGTTGTCTAGGGGGGTGGGGGGCAGTAGAGCTGTTGTCTAGGGGGTGGGGGGCAGTAGAGCTGTTGTCTAGGGGAGTGGGAGGCAGTAGAGCTGTTGTCTAGGGGAATGGGGGGCAGTAGAACTGTTGTCTAGGGGGTGGGGGGCAGTAGAGCTGTTGTGTAGGGGGAGTGGGGGGCAGTAGAGCTGTTGTCTTGGGGAATGGGGGGCAGTAGAGCTGTTGTCTAGGGGGTGGGGGGCAGTAGAGCTGTTGTCTAGGGGAGTGGGGGCAGTAGAGCTGTTGTCTAGGGGGAGTGGGGGGCAGTAGAGCTGTTGTCTAGGGGGAGTGGGGGGCAGTAGTGCTGTTGTCTAGGGGGGTGGGGGGCAATAGAGCTGTTGTCTAGGGGAGTGGGGGGCAGTAGAGCTGTTGTCTAGGGGAGTGGGGGGCAGTAGAACTGTTGTCTAGGGGGAGGGGGGGGCAGTAGTGCTGTTGTCTAGGGGGGTGGGGGGCAGTAGAGCTGTTGTCTAGGGGGAGTGGGGGGCAGTAGAGCTGTTGTCTAGGGGGAGTGGGGGGCAGTAGTGCTGTTGTCTAGGGGGGTGGGGGGCAGTAGAGCTGTTGTCTAGGGGAGTGGGGGGCAGTAGAGCTGTTGTCTAGGGGGGTGGGGGGCAGTAGAGCTGTTGTCTAGGGGGGTGGGGGGCAGTAGAGCTGTTGTCTAGGGGGGTGGGGGCCGTAGAGCTGTTGTCTAGGGGAATGGGGGGCAGTAGAGCTGTTGTCTAGGGGAGTGGGGGGCAGTAGAGCTGTTGTCTAGGGGGGTGGGGAGCAGTAGAGCTGTTGTCTAGGGGGGTGGGGGGCAGTAGAGCTGTTGTCTAGGGGGAGTGGGGGGCAGTAGAGCTGTTGTCTAGGGGGGTGGGGGCAGTAGAGCTGTTGTCTAGGGGGAGTGGGGGGCAGTAGAGCTGTTGTCTAGGGGGGTGGGGGGCAGTAGAGCTGTTGTGTACGGGGGTGGGGGGCAGTAGAGCTGTTGTGTACGCGGGTGGGGGGCAGTAGAGCTGTTGTCTAGGGGAGTGGCGGGGGGCAGTAGAGCTGTTGTCTAGGGGAGTGGGGGGCAGTAGAGCTGTTGTGTAGGGGGGTGGGGGGGCAGTAGAGCTGTTGTCTAGGGGGAGTGGGGGGCAGTAGAGCTGTTGTCTAGGGGGAGTGGGGGGCAGTAGAGCTGTTGTCTAGGGGGAGTGGGGGGCAGTAGAGCTGTTGTCTAGGGGGGTGGGGGGCAGTAGAGCTGTTGTCTAGGGGAATGGGGGGCAGTAGAGCTGTTGTGTAGGGGGGTGGGGGGCAGTAGAGCTGTTGTCTAGGGGGAGTGGGGGGCAGTAGAGCTGTTGTGTACGGGGAGTGGGGGGCAGTAGAGCTGTTGTCTAGGGGGGTGGGGGCAGTAGAGCTGTTGTCTAGGGGAGTGGGGGGCAGTAGAGCTGTTGTGTAGGGGGTGGGGGGCAGTAGAGCTGTTGTTTAGGGGGGTGGGGGGCAGTAGAGCTGTTGTCTAGGAGAATGGGGGGCAGTAGAGCTGTTTTCTAGGGGAATGGGGGGCAGTAGAGCTGTTGTCTAGGGGAATGGGGGGCAGTAGAGCTGTTGTCTAGGGGAATGGGGGGCAGTAGAGCTGTTGTCTAGGGGAATGGGGGGCAGTAGAGCTGTTGTCTAGGGGGGTGGGGAGCAGTAGAGCTGTTGTGTAGGGGGTGGGGGGCAGTAGAGCTGTTGTCTAGGGGGGTGGGGGGCAGTAGAGCTGTTGTCTAGGGGGGTGGGGGGGCAGTAGAGCTGTTGTCTAGGGGGGTGGGGGGGCAGTAGAGCTGTTGTGGAGGGGGTGGGGGGCAGTAGAGCTGTTGTCTAGGGGGGTGGGGGCAGTAGAGCTGTTGTCTAGGGGAATGGGGGGCAGTAGAGCTGTTGTCTAGGGGGTGGGGGGCAGTAGAGCTGTTGTCTAGGGGAGTGGGGGGCAGTAGAGCTGTTGTCTATGGGGAGTGGGGGGCAGTAGAGCTGTTGTCTAGGGGGAGTGGGGGGCAGTAGTGCTGTTGTGTAGGGGGGTGGGGGGCAGTAGAGCTGTTGTCTAGGGGAGTGGGGGGCAGTAGAGCTGTTGTCTAGGGGAGTGGGGGGCAGTAGAACTGTTGTCTAGGGGAGTGGGGGGCAGTAGAGCTGTTGTCTAGGGGGGTGGGGAGCAGTAGAGCTGTTGTGTAGGGGGTGGGGGGCAGTAGAGCTGTTGTCTAGGGGGGTGGGGGGCAGTAGAGCTGTTGTCTAGGGGGGTGGGGGGCAGTAGAGCTGTTGTCTAGGGGGGTGGGGGCAGTAGAGCTGTTGTCTAGGGGAGTGGGGGGCAGTAGAGCTGTTGTCTAGGGGGGTGGGGGCAGTTGAGCTGTTTTCTAGGGGGAGGGGGGGCAGTAGAGCTGTTGTGTAGGGGAATGGGGGGCAGTAGAGCTGTTGTGTAGGGGGTGGGGGGCAGTAGAGCTGTTGTCTAGGGGGGTGGGGGGCAGTAGAGCTGTTGTCTAGGGGGGTGGGGGCAGTAGAGCTGTTGTCTAGGGGGAGTGGGGGGCAGTAGAGCTGTTGTGTACGGGGGTGGGGGGCAGTAGAGCTGTTGTCTAGGGGAGTGGGGGGGGCAGTAGAGCTGTTGTCTAGGGGAGTGGGGGGCAGTAGAGCTGTTGTCTAGGGGGGTGGGGGGCAGTAGAGCTGTTGTCTACGGGAATGGGGGGCAGTAGAGCTGTTGTCTAGGGGGAGTGGGGGGCAGTAGAGCTGTTGTGTACGGGGAGTGGGGGGCAGTAGAGCTGTTGTCTAGGGGGGTGGGGGCAGTAGAGCTGTTGTCTAGGGGAGTGGGGGGCAGTAGAGCTGTTGTCTAGGGGGAGTGGGGGGCAGTAGAGCTGTTGTCTAGGGGGAGTGGGGGGCAGTAGAGCTGTTGTCTAGGGGGGTGGGGAGCAGTAGTGCTTTTGTCTAAGGGGAGTGGGGGGCAGCAGTGCTGTTGTGTACGGGACGTGGCACCATAACGGCGATTCATCGCTAAGAAGGCGAGTGAACTTGGGTGGTGCCAGAGGGACACGTGGTGGTTGGGACCCCCTCTCATCCTCCAATCGCCGACACCGCGTCTAGACTCGTGGCTCGACACGTCGGAAGACCAACCTTTGACAGTGAGGCTCCAATCAACGACTGCTCACGTCTCGCGTGTGCTGCCCCGTCTCCATTTGCGGTGCCTCGTCTGGACTTCTCTCAAATGGATTTTCCGTTGTTGCGTTTTGTTCTGTCTCTACTGTCCGTCCACCTTCTTTAGAACCGTCTCGTTTGTACTGCCCGTAACCGAATCGTCTGTACGCATTTTGCCCGAATCATCATATCAAACGTCTGGTAAATGACGAGAAAAACTCACGATCGTAACGGACACATCTGCGCGGGCCAAACATCCATAGGTTTCAAATAACAGACAGAAACTTCTAAAAAAAAGGCACTCTTGCCTCTCGCGCGTTCTGCGAAAAAACCGTCAACAGTTCCTGGAAGAAAGAAAACTGCACTGTGGTCTTCTCGATCTTCGGTCACGATCAAATTAATGGTCACCGAAGAAGAGGCGAGCACAATGCAGAAGCCACCGCTTTCTTTCGGGACCGTTTGATGGTGACCCAAGAACCCAAGGGGCCCACAACGCCGTCGTCCGTGAACTGTTGATGGCTTTGGCTTTTAGTGCACGAGGCAGAGGGCTTTCTATCCGTCGTTTGTCACCGTTTCGCTCTTCACGCTCGGGGTCCGTGGGGGGGGGGGGGGGGGGGTTCCAGTTGCGGTATTCACGGTCCAAATTGGCTCAATTTGGAAAAAAGAAATGACTGAAGTAGATTTTAAATACACCGGCTCCTAACTGCGAATACTTGGTGGGAACATCCTGAGAAAATAATGGAGACTCGGTGAGGCTTTCCTGGGTAAACTAGCGCAATAAGGCAGTCCGGAGTCAGAAAATAAGTTTAAGGATCGTACGAATACGAAAGAGGACAGCGTTGAGCGACTGTGATTTAGACATATGTTCAACGAGAGTGGGTGATGGTGACAAAGACGGGTTTATCATGAGTCTGTCCGGGTCGGTAACCGGACCAACAATATCCATGTGAGCCGTGGTCAAGAATCAACTCGTCGTTGGGTAAACTCTGCCGCGTACAGAATGAAGAGCTATATTCTTCGTCACGTAGATAAGTTCAAAGAAAATAACAACAAAAAATAACAAAAAAACTGCGACGTTTCGATCGCAACACAAGCGTTCGTTGTCAGGAAGACTAACAGCTATCCTAAGCAGAAACGTCCACACACACACAGCTCACAAGCACACCACTAAACACGTTCACACGCAAACATCTACAACGACAAAGATACCCCGCGTAGCCTTTAACAGACTACAGCATTGGGGCGAATTCTGTTAGCGAGCACCTATGAAGGACAGCACCACACGAGGGTGTGTAGGGCCGCCTTTGTGTCCCTAATGCAGATGGTTATGCACAGCACCAGGTGAAGACCGGTTCAAATATTCTCCATTGTCCCTAATGCAGATGTCTACGCACAGCACCAGGTGAAGACCGGTTCAAATATTCTCCACAGCCGTCAGCCGTGAGCTCGAATCCAGCTCCATACACACAAAGACATGAACAAAGATCCCCCGTATAGCCTTAACATAATTTTGGGGGCAAGTGCTGTTAGCGAGCCCCCTAAGAAGGCCGGAACGGCGCACGAGGGGGTGAGGTGGCCAACACCACGCCCGGCCGCCTTTGTCTCCCCAGTGGTGATGTTGACACACCGCACCAGGTACTAATTTGAGGCTGAGTCGACCTATGGAAGGCCCAGGACCGGTTCAGATAATCGTCACTGGGTGTTGGCTGTGAGCTGGAATCGAACCCGAGTAGCCGGGTTCGTAGCGCAGCGCGCTCACCGCTACACCACCGCTCCCCCCACACACATCTACATACACACACACATCTACATACACACACATCTACATACACACACACATCTACATACACACACACACATCTACAGGGACTCTATGGATGGGACTGGGTTCTGAATGGGACTGAGTTCTGAATGAGACTGGGTTCTGGATGAGATTGGGTTCTGGATGGGACTGGGTTCTGAATGGGACTGGGTTCTGAATGAGACTGGGTTCTGGATGGGACTGGGTTCTGGATGGGACTGGATTCTGAATGGGACTGGGTTCTACATACATACACACACACACATCTACATACACACACACACATATATACACACACATATATACACACACACACATCTACATACACACGCGCGCACGCATACACACGGTGCCGTGCAAGGGCGCGTTTATCTCATCAGTATGCAAATGAGTGGCTGGAGGCAGCGCTCCCACGAGGGGGTGGCAGGGGGGTGGGGGCGGTCTGGCTGCGGCCCGGGCTCGCATCCCGAGCAGCCTCCCCGTGATCCCACGCCGTGGGCCCAAACGTCGCTTTCCTCCACCCCCCCCACCCACCACGTATCCATCACCGACAATGGTGATTAGTTTGTCGCCCGTCGGAATGGAAATTCTGACGAAGGGAATGGTAAATCTGACCGACCAATGCCTGTCACAGATTCACCCGGGATGCTCTCCCTTCCGATATGGGGAAGCCACTGGTGCCGTGCGCTTTTAAACCAAAATTAAAGACGAATTTATTTAGAACTGTTTTTTCGCGTTTCGGTTGTCGTCCTTCCCACGCACCTCAAATTCGCACGGTTGGCTACGTACAGTGCGAGCTAAGTTCAACATACCAGTTCACCAAAAACTAATTTGCCCCAAAGTTCCCCTTTCCAAAAAAAGGCAAGCTTGTGTTTTGAGAGGGCGCCGGCTGACCCGCAGAGTGCTCAAAACATTTCATCGAGTGTTTGGTTGTGGTTGGTTGCGATTGCTCACGACGGAACACAATTGTCGGTTGGCTGAACGACAGCATTTTTAAACCATCGTCGTTGTCGTCGTCATGCTACTTGCACTATGGGTTTGGTGAAAGGTGTTTGTCCGTCGTTCTGCGATATTTTTTTTTAGTCCACAACCAAAAGCACAGTGCGGGGATGAAGTCCCCCGTGCATTCGGCCACGGTGGTGGCACAGGAACGGTGGCACCACCGAAGGCAGAATGATTCTAAATGTTAACACGGAAGAATTATCCCCGCGTCCGTGCTCCGTGTTTGACAAACGTTCGTCCCGTGCTACTCCACCGAGAGGGAGACGACGTTGAGCCGAGTGAGGGCCTCTCACCACGGGTCTGTGCACATCCCAGAAGGCGCGCTCCTGGCTCTCCATCACCTTCCTCTCCAGCTTCTCCCTCTTGCGGTCGACCCTGGGCGCCGCGCGAGACATGCGACCACTCGGAATTCGCGGCATTCTCTTCTTAAACCTCGCCGTGATCAGAACAATAATAACAACATCTTTATTGGTTTATATTGAGCTTCGCAGTTCTCGTTCCGGATGGGACTGGGCTCTGGATGGGACTGAGTTCTGGATGAGACTGGGTTCTTGATGGGACTAGCTTCTGGATGAGACTTTGTTCTGGATGAGACTGGGTTCTGAATGAGATTGAGTTCTGAATGGGACTGGATTCTGGATGAGACTGGGTTCTGAATGAGACTGGGTTCTGAATGGGACTGGGTTCTGAATGAGACTGGGTTCTGAATGATACTGAGTTCTGGATGGGTCTGGGTTCTGAATGAGACTGGGTTCTGAATGAGACTGGGTTCTGAATGATACTGAGTTCTGGATGGGACTGGGTTCTGGATGGGACTGGGTTCTGGATGGGACTGGGTTCTGGATGAGACTGGGTTCTGAATGAGACTGAGTTCTAGATGAGACTGGGTTCTGAATGAGACTGGGTTCTGGATGAGACTGGATTCTGAATGATACTGAGTTCTGAATGAGACTGGGTTCTGGATGGGACTGGGTTCTGAATGAGACTGGATTCTGAATGATACTGAGTTCTGGATGAGACTGTATTCTGAATGAGACTGAGTTCTGAATGAGACTGGGTTCTGAATGAGACTGGGTTCTGAATGATACTGAGTTCTGGATGAGACTGGATTCTGAATGAGACTGAGTTCTAAATGAGACTGGGTTCTGAATGAGACTGGGTTCTGAATGAGACTGGGTTCTGAATGAGACTGGCTTCTGAATGATACTGAGTTCTGGATGAGACTGGGTTCTGAATGAGACTGGGTTCTGAATGATACTGAGTTCTGAATGAGACTGGGTTCTGGATGGGACTGAGTTCTGGATGAGACTGGGTTCTGAATGAGACTGGGTTCTGGATGGGTCTGGATTCTGGATGGGACTGGGTTCTGGATGGGACTGAGTTCTGGATGAGACTGGGTTCTGAATGATACTGAGTTCTGGATGAGACTGGATTCTAGATGGGACTGGGTTCTGGATGGGACTGTGTTCTGGATGAGACTGGGTTCTGAATGATACTGAGTTCTGGATTATACTGGGTTTTGAATGAGACTGAGTTCTGAATGAGACTGGGTTCTGAATGGGACTGGGTTTTGAATGAGACTGAGTTCTGAATGGGACTGGGTTCTGAATGGGACTGGGTTCTGGATGGGACTGGGTTCTGAATGAGACTGGGTTCTGAATGAGACTGGGTTCTGGATGAGACTGGGTTCTGAATGGTACTGGGTTCTGAATGAGACTGAGTTCTAGATGAGACTGTGTTCTGAATGGGACTGGGTTCTGGATGGGACTGGATTCTGGATGGGACTGGATTCTGGATGGGACTGGATTCTGGATGGGACTGGGTTCTGGTGCGTGGACTCGCCTGGCCTGTGCCTCCGCTTGCATGAAGATGAACTCCCACTTGCGGTCGAACGCTCTCTGCAGTCGCGCTAAGCTCTCCTGCAGATGGGTTCACATCAACATCATCAACTGTCATCATCATCATCATCACCACAATATTGTACCAATTTATTCAGCGTCATCATAATCGTAATCACCATAATCATCATCATCACTCTGATCACCATAGTATGCATGCCTTGTGTTGGAATGGCCCTTCTCCGTAGCACAGGCGCTACAAATAAGGACTATCGCCTGAAACGTCGCCTCTTATACACTTTTCTTTTAAGGCGGTGCTGTTGAAGAATGCGTTCATTTTCTTGGTTCTTTCGGTAAAGTCACGTATAAGGGAAACAATAAAATAATAAAAATTAAAAAAATATAAAACAATAAAATTCTCACGACGTTTAGACTGCAACACAAGCAATCATCATCAGGTGTGAAACCCACAGCAAGAACATTTTTAAAAAGTGGCGGTTATTTTTAACGTATTTTTAACGTTAAAAATAACCGCCACTTTTTTCAAAATTTCTTGCTGTGGTTCACACTTGATGATGATTGATTGTGTTGCAGTCGAAATGTCGTGAGAATTTTATTGTTTAATATTTTTATTATTTTATTGTTTCCCTTATACGTGACTTTACCGAAAGAACCAAGAATATGAATCCCTGCAGTCACGAAAGCTTTAAATCAAAATGTAATGCGTTCATTGTTATATTTTTCACACCACTAGCCAACGCAGTCTCACCAAATGAGTTGTATTGGAGTATATGTGCGCATGTTGCCGTGTGCGTGCAGGTGTGTGCACGCTGCGAACCCGGACGCCCGAGTTGGATTCCCGCTCACGGCCACCAACACCGGTGACACTTATCTCAACCGGTTCTGGGCCCTCCCTAGGTCGACTCGGCCTCAAATGAGCACCTGGTGCGGTGTGTAAACATTGCCACTGGGGAGACAAAGCGGCAGAGAGTGGTGGTGGCCACCCACCCCCTAGTTGTGCCGTACCGGCCTTCATAGGTGCTACAAACGCCTTTTATGTCTATGCGGGGGATCTTTCTCTTTGTACGTGCGCGTGCATTTCTAGATCATTACAGCGGTGTAGCATTTACACTGGGAATACTAACGTAACAACCTCGCATGCAGATGAGATGAGTGTGTGTGGCCATCTGCCAGTCAATCCACAACCATAACCATACAGATGCAGTCGTCGTGGCCAGGCGATGGAAGCTGCTCACGAATTCAACAGGGATGACTTGCCCAGTCTGTTAAAGGTTGTGCGGCGGCTCTGCGTGTGTTCTAGATCCAGAGCTGCTTTTTGTGTTCAGTTCGTTGTCCATCCCCCACACTTCCGATTAGCACGGTTGGCTACGTACGGCGCGAAAGAAGTTCAACGTACGTCCATACCTGGTGTCCGTGTGGTTTTGGTGTCTGTGCGTACGGGCTTGACCCCTGGCCGCGGCTAACATCGGTCGCAGCGGTATCTCACCCATGTCGTGGGCCTCCCCTAGCTGGAGCCAGCCTTAAGTGTACACCAGGAGCGGTGCGGTGACGTGCATCGGCACTGGAGAGACAAAGACGGCCGTGCGCGTGCGACTCACGGCCTCGTAATCCGCGAGTTCCAACCTCGCCTTGTTCTGCATTGTCCTCTTGCACAGATACACGGCTACATCGCGACACGGACACAGACGGAGACACGCCGAGGCACAGAGACGGAGCGACAGGCAGACACGGACACACACAGCATCGACATTGAGACGCATTGACACATTGACGCAGACAGAGGCACGCGAAGAGACACAGAGGCACGTGTTGCATTCATGTGCTCGCAAAGAGCACTTATTCCGGAATGCGTTGTGTGTGTGTGTGCGTTATGTATATGTGTGCAGGTGTGTGTGCGTGTTTATATATAAACTAGTCTTTTGCCCGTACAAGGACTGGTGTATTGCAGTAAATCTGAAACTTGCAAGCGAAAAGCAGACCACGATGTGATATTCATTGCATCCATTCGTGTGCAATTTGTAAGGGCGCGGTGACACAGACTTATTTCATGTAAAGGTTATAATCCCTTGTTCATCACGACGTCCTTTTTACTTTGATGTCTCAACAACAGCGTTACGGAGATCACGTGACGTGAGGGTTCTGCCTTTGTAGCGAGGGTTGTCAGTTGACGCCGAGGAGGGGGGAGGAGGCGCCTCGCCCCCCCATGTGGAGTGACGTCCGCCGCTAATTATTATGAATGGGGGGGGGTGTCCATTTGAAGGACGTCACCTTATGATTATTAATGAGGGGGGCTGGTCGACGTGGAGTGACGTCACGAGCGTTGCACACAGACATTCTTGGCTCATTATAGTAGGTAATAATAATGAGGGGAGGGGGTGGGTGTTCATTTGCAGGACGTCACATGCTCATGAATATTAATGAGGGGGGCTGGTCTATGTGAAGTGACGTCACGAGCGTTAGGGACAGACATTCTTGGGTGATTATAGTAGGTATATGTGTGTGTGTGTGCATTATGGGAAGCGGTAGTGTAGCGGTTAGCGCGCTGCGCTACAAACCCGGGATTCGAGTTCGATTCCCGCTCACGACCAACACGTGAGTACTAAGTTTAAATCATAAAAATTATTGTTAAAATAAAAATATTATTAAATATATGTTTTTTCGTTCAAGTGCTCTGAGACGTCACGACGTGTAGGAGGGCACTATGTAAAAAAAAAACCCAAGCAATTATCATGATGTATTTCTCTCAATCGCGTTCATTCGGGAAGCCCCTCTGTGCCTCTAACTCGCTCCGAAGCCCCTCACCGTAATCTGTGTTCTCGGGATCCCAGCAGTTGGAAGGCCAGAAATATGGATTCTGCAAGAACGAGTCAGCCACGATTACCACCACCACCACATGTTATATCACACGTGTGATCTTAACCACCACCACCACCAACATCATCATCATCCGTCATGACCAATCCACTTCTGGATGAAGGCTCCGTGATGCCAAACATTGTTGAACTGGATGAGCTGATCTCGTCGTCGCAACCATCGTTGGTGCTGGTCATCCTCTCGGGCCGTGTTCCCCCTACTTGTGACTGTCATTCCGTCAGCGGTCTCACCCATCACTTCTCGTGACGTGTCCTTCCCGAGCCCAATTGTGTTTACTTTCCTTGTCAGTCAGGCTGCATCATGCCCGACCTCTATTCGTCTCTCAGTGTAATTCCCAGCATGCACCCCCACCTCTCCACGTTTCTTTGACCTCATGAAATATTCACAGTTCCTTCCCACGATGGAGAGGCGTTAACGAGCTCGCCTGCTATGCAGGATAGCGTGGGTTCGATCCCGACCCTGACGCCTATATATTTGGAGTTTGTGTGTCTCTTTCCCCCTGGTTACGTGGATTTTTATCCGGGTCCTCCGGTTTTCCCCTCCACATTTATAAACATCTATCCACTGCTGTTATACAGCTCCACATTAGTCACTTCGTTGAGCTATAATTTGTGGCCAGGTCGCATCCTAAAAAAGAGCTGTACTGTATATCTCAATGTGCCTTACCTGCTAAAATAAAACATAGCTTACTTTAGTTTATTACAGTTGGAATGGTGTGACTAAGTGCCCTTGGTTTTGCCGTTCGAGCGTTATCGTGTATTAAGGGATTTCTTTATTGAATTAAAAGCGTAAAAGTATGTTAAGGGATTTACAGCGAAATCAGTTGGACCAGATATTTTCACGAGTGCTTTCTATCCTATTCCGATTGTAATAGCGTGGCTAAGCGCTCCCACTGCAAATGTCAAACGAAAATCAAAAGTCCAACCGACCACCCTTCAGCGTTTCTTTGCGCCCTTTCATTATATTTGATATTTCTTCACACTTTCTTTGTCAACCTCCGTGTTTCTTATACATGCACCATCCTGAGCATCGCTAACCATACTGACTTTTGGGAGTATTTCATCCAGCAGTGGATAGACCGTCGGCCCACGATGATGGCGAGGCCTTCATCCAACCGTGGACACACCATGGTCGATGACCTTTGTGGGGCGACTTCGATGCAGCAGTGGATAGATGCACGGCTCACGACGACGACGACGATGATCCGATTGGCGAGGGGCGAGCGAACTTGCGCGCCAGGATCCGGGAGCGTTCACTGCGCGCGGCGCCTTCAAACCCCGGACGCGACCCGGTTCGACTCCCATCACCGGTCGCTAGGTGAGCCACCTCGCGTTTGAAACTCGGTCGTAAAGACAAACTCAGCAGCCCCAGAGGGAGACTCGGAGGCGAAATGCGTGACGCTAAATGGATTTTCCCGGCCAATGTGATGCGTTCACTGCCGCCTATCCCGAGGCGCTGTTTAGACATTCTTTCATTTCCCATTTATGATCGCGGCTGCGTCTCTCCTCCATGAACACGGAGGGAGGGGGCTGGTGTGCGTGTGTACGCGCGTGTGTTAGGTCTACTCCGGCCTGAAATTAGTACCTGGTGCGGTGTGTAAACATCGCCACTGGGGAGACAAAGGCGGTCGGGCGTGGCGCTGGCCACCCACCGGTAGGTGCACCGTGCCGGCCTTCATAGGTGCTCGCTCACAGCACTTGCCTCAACAAGTCTGTTGAGGCATAACAGGGGGATCTTTGTCTTGTACCAGCCAGGCCGGACTGTGTGGAAGGGGCTCGCACGTCCTGGCCAAGATCCGTGCATTGCTCTATGAATGAGCTCGTCCGGAAATCGAGGCTGCGTTGGCTGGGTCGCGTAGTCCGCGTGCCCAGCCACCGCATACCCAAGCAGCTTCTGGTTGGCCGGATAGATGGGGCTTAATGGGCTCGAGAAGAGATGGGCTGATGCGCTTCGGGAGGACTTGGAGCTGAGTGGACTTGCCAACAATTTGGTGCCGGCGGTGTCAAAATCGATTCCCGTTCGTGGCAAACATCGGTGGCGCGTGGCATTTGAACGGCTACTGGGCCTCTCCCAGGTCGACTCAGCCGCAAATGTGTACCGAGTGCGGTGTCTAACATCAACCATCAGTGCCTGGCGTTATGCTGGCCGTGATGGATGTTCGCCAGCAGCCCCAACAGTCCGTAAGCTACATGGAGGTGTGGGGCGAAGGAGGGCCTTTATATTTGCGTAATAGGTGCTCGCTAACTGCAACTGGTCTCACAGTGTACGTACAGCGACACAAGGATGCATGTGTGCGTGGCTTGAAGTTAGTCGCCCCCTTGTCAATCATTCGCGATCACAGCTGTCTGCGCTTCTTGGTTATTACACCACCCACAATACCCCCCCCCCCCCACACAACCACCTCCCCCCCCCCACACACACACAACCCCTCCACCCCAGCACCCCCCCACACACAACCCCCCCACCCCAGCACCCCCCCCCCCCCCCCCACCAAGTAATGTCTACCCCGGGTTGAGAGAGGGCACCTGGAATCGGTACAAGGCGCCGTCGTCTTTGAGCGCCAGCACGTGGTCTGAGATGGGGAAAAAGTAGCCGTGGGCTGCCATCTGCGTGCCCAGGTGCAGCGCCTCCGCTGGGGGATCCAAGAGGGAGGGGGTTGTGTGGGAATAGCGCGGGGGGGTGGGGGGGTTGGGTGAGTGGGGGGGGGTCTCTCACACTCACAATCAGGGCGGTAGCACCAGCCACACGTGTGACGTGTGGGTGGGTGGGGTGCTGGACATCGCACCCACTCGGGTTCGCCTTCATGGGTCCTCGCCGACGGCACTTCCTGCAACACTCCGTTAATGGCGATGGGGGAGGGAGGGCTGGTTTGGAGGGAGACGGTGATCGAGTTGGTGGGTGAATGAAACGAGTGGGTGGGTGAGCGAGCGGGTGAGTGAATGAGTGGGTGAATGATCGGGTGGGTGAATGAATGAACGAGTAGGTGGGTGGAAGAGTGACTGACTTGAGTGCGTTAGAGGATGAGTACGGGAATGAATGAGGGAATGAATGAGAGAGTCGGTGTTAAGAATAAATGTGTGCGTGAGAGCGTGTTTGTTTTTCAGTTGGCGAGAGTAAGTGTGAGAAGTGAATGACCGTACGTAGTGCAACGGTTATCGCTACGCTGCGCTACGAACCCGGCGAATCGAGTTCGATTCCCGCTCACGCCCAACACCACGGTGACGATTTTCTGAATCTGTCCTGGGGCTCCCCTAAGTCGACTCGGCCTCAAATGACTACCTGGTGCGGTGTGTAAACATCGACACTGGGGATGACAAAGGCGGTCGGCCGTGGGTGCTGGCCGCCCACCCCTTCGCACAACCCTGTTGGCCTGCATAGGCGCTCGCTAACAACACTTGCCCCAACCGTCTGTTGAGGCTATACGGGGGGGTCTTTGCGTGCGGCAGTACAGTGTTTCGTCTACCTTGGTCCTGGGTGTTGAGGTTCTTCATGAGCCACTGCACAATGTCGGTTCCTGCACGCGGACGGGAAACGAACTTCCATCAGCCTTCAACCCAGGCGACCTACGACCTCAAGGCGCACGTTCAAATCTCGGTCGTGGATTTGTCAACGTGGAACAAGCACACGAGTGACAGCTCGCAAAGTGGTTGTTCCATGGCTATAGGGTTCCTTGCCTTACGTGGAATGTGATCGTTTTTAGCAGCGGGTCGCTCTGCTGATACGAGTGAGTTTACACTGAGCGACCCTTTGTCACTCTACCGCTGGATGGGTGTGGGGGGGGGGGGGGCTCCCCACGTCGTATTGGTCGTGGGGGGTTGTTTGACCATACTTCACCACGCTGGTCATCGTCGACGTAGCTTCTAAATCTACTTTGATGCCGCTGCTGCTGCACTGCATTGGCCTGTGTGCATTGTGTTGAGTATGAAGACAAAAATCCTGATCATGTTGAAGCTTATCTTCTTTTTTTAGAGATTATAATAAGAGATTATAATCTCTCAAAAAAGATAAACCATGATAATCTTCAAATTTTGACTTAAAACTTTCGTGACTGCAGGAATTTATATTCTTGGTTCTTTCGGTAAAGTCACTTAGATAGAATAAAATAAAATAAATTGATTTTATTATGTAAATTTTTTTATTTCTTTCTTTTCGTTTCAAGTTTTTTTAATATTATTTTTTATTTTAATATTCTATGTACGTGGCTTTACCGAAAGAACCAAGAATACATAATAATCTTAGTTTTTTTGAGATTATAATCTCTCAAGAAACATCCCTCGACCTACGACTGTGGGTGCTCTCTCCTGCCACACCACACTCCACCCCCACCCCCACACCCCCGCGGACTGCAGCGTGGTGTCCCTTACCCGTGACCACGCTGGGAATCTTGGTGAGGAAGCTCTTGACGGTACGGATCGCGACGCCGCCCTCCTCTGCCTGCATCCGACGGACGATCTGCTCCATCTGCACGCCGGTTAAAAAAAAAGACACAACGGCCATCGGGACACACGGTGGCTAGGAGATGTTAACTACCTCGCTTGGTATGCAGGAGGTCGCGGGTTCGATGCCGACCCCGACGCCTGCTGTGTATTTTTAGTTTGCGATGTCTCTCTCTCTCTCTGCTCGTGGTCGCGTGGATTTTTCAACCGGGGTCCTCCATTTGTTCCCTCCACGTTTAGAAACATCCACACGATGACGAGCCACTTCGTCGAGCTAACGCGTGTGGCCAGGTCGCTTCTGAAAAAGAGCTAATTAGCTCAGTGGGCCTTACCCAGTGAAATAAAAAACATAGTTTAGTAGACAGGGGGCAGTCTCAAATCCTCATTATCCACCGTGTCTCTCTACTGGGACTCTCTACTTATGTGCACTGAAGAAGGGACATTGCTCGAAACGTCGCTTGTTATCTATTTTTCCTATTAAGGTACTTGTGGGCCATGGGCCAGAGTGGAAACCGCTACCACCTAAAGTAGCAAAACTCTCGTGGTGCCGATCTATTAACACGGCTAATAGTGAATTATTTCATATGGTTATCATATAATTCACCATTATTGGCCACGTAAAGAGACATGTAAACCTGCAATAAGTTACACCATCCCAGGTGGAACCGATGAGTGGAATTTATGGGCTTTTTGTTGCATCGTATTACAGGGAGAGTCGCATAAATGTATCTTCGTAAGCAAGAAGGGCAGCGCATTTAACACAATACCGTATCTGTAAAGACAAAGCACTGCTAACTCTATCGTCTTGGGTACGAACACTCCTCGGTGGAGTTGGACAAACACCCAAATATAGGACCACGCAGCTCGAACAATTGTGGTTGGTGTGTGAGAGAGAGAGAGAGAGCGAGAGAGAGCAGTCGACGTCTATATCTGTTACGGGGGGGGGGGGGGGGGGGGGGGGGGGGGGGGCGGGGGGAGTACAATCAACGCATCTTCTCAAACAAAGCCAGCGCCGTCAATTGATCTCTTTAAAGACACGGGAAAGCCAGTATGTGTTACAACACACTTGCGACAGAGATTGCACCATCAACAAACCTTGCTAATTGGCTGTGCCGGCTGGTGGCGGGTTTAATGACACATTCATATTTACGCGATTTAACCTACCCCCCCGCCCCGCTCTATTATGGATAATATTTGGTCGTGAAAGCCTCCTACGTGTTAAACTCACCATCAACGTATCTCATTAATCACAGCCCGCGTCAACTCGTCTGATTAATTATCAGAGAGAGAGACTGTAAAGTGAACTCATTCCCCCTTAGGAGGCGTGCAGGAGATGTGTTTGTCCTGCGTGTCCGTGACTGCCACTCGCGTGCGGAGATCACGAACTGCGGGCGATGTGGTCACAATGAAAACGGACCGCCACGGAATCACCGATCTTGCTGATATCAGCCAATTCAATGAAGGGGGCGGGGGGAGGGGCGTGTCGCATCATTACTCGATCCATGGATCGATTGGTAACGAATTGACGCAGCAATTAACCCGCAAATTGTGATTAAGGGGCCATCTCCATTTAATACGTACGCATGGAGGGGGGAGGGGAGGTTAACCCAAACGCATACGCTTGCGTACGGGGGGGGGGGTCGACTGACAATTTAAGTACGCATAGGAAACGGGGGGGGGGGGGGTGGTGAAGCCTCGATAATAATTTGTCTACATTGGTCTTCAAATGAGCCACAGTTCAGTGCCTTCAGCTGTCAGACAACAAGTACTACCGGGAGAAGTGGGACTGTGGGAGAGGTGTCACTCTTTGTATGCCACCGTGCCCCTGACTGCAGCTATCACGCGGCTCAGCAAAATAAGTGGCCAAGGTACGCAACTGAATTATTTAATGCAGCCGGCGGTGGACTATCTGTTTGCCCAAACACGTTAATATTATGAAACCTTGATCGTTTCTGCGTGGATTAAATATCGGCCGTTCTATAGGATTCGGGAATGGGGGGGGGGTGCGTCAGGCGTACGTACGCAGGTGGGGGGTCAGGGTGTAAAAAGTTCGCGTGCGTACAGGGAGGAGGGGAGGGGTCAAGTTTTGACAGATTTTGCGTTAAGCACTCAATGGATGGCCCCAAACTCCGGTGTTTTTTGACGCGTGTTTGTTACGGATCGACTGAGCGGAATCGATGCCATTAATCTCGTAACACGATCCACAATTACCATATATGGGGATGGTAAAATCTCTGATCTGTGATTTTGTCGGCTGTAGGATTGTATGGCTCTATACCAGAGCCTCCATGGCATGGCACTTGAGACGCTGCAGCGCCTCCACGTGTGGAGGAGTCGTGGAGGCGATTGCACGGTTCTCACGAGGCGCGTGAGCGGTCTGTCAACTCAGAGGGGACGATCTCCGGCTCAGGGGTGGTCCACTGCTTTCTGCGACAGCTTGACGATGGAAAATAAATTCCTCGGATTAGGACGCCGCCGCCGATCGAACAAATAGAGTTGAATTGTTATTATGGCTATTGTCCCCCCCCACCAGCCTACCGCCTGCTGAGGCTGTAGGCGACTCTGCTCTGTGGATTCTCCTCGAAGGGATTCGCGTTCTGCACCTCCGTGGAGAGCGCAAGGAAGCACCTCTACTCCTCCACCTTCTCTGTCTCGCTGTGTCTCTCCTCCTCGCCGTGCCCAATCTCGTTTGTCATCCGTCCGTCCGTGTGCACGTTGAACTTCTTTCGCGCCCTACGTAGCCAACCATGCTCATCGGAGGCGTGGGGGAAGGGCAACAGACTAAACACCGAACAGCAGTACTGAAGCGATGAGTTTTCAATCGTAGATTTTAAAGTTCACAGCTCCGTTGGCCTCCTCATATCGGAAGGAAGAGCGTTCCAGACGGCCGCAGAAGCGCATCTGAAAGCGCCGCGCGACGCGGTGACCGCCGTCCCGCACCCCTCCACTGGAATAAACTTCCCCCGTTCATTCATCAGTCCCCGTCACCCCCCTGCGGTTCCTCTCCTGAAGTTTACCTTTTCTCTCTCTCGCACATTCTCATCCTCGCTCCTCCACTCCTTCCCGTCCCTCCCCTAACACTTTCGTGACCCCTCGATCGCGCTAACTCGTTCCCCAACCCTTTTCACGCACCTGCCGTCGAAATCGTTCCATTCTGCTGTCACCGTGTTTCGTTTTTATTTCCACGACGTGAAGCGCCTTGAGCGAAGGCGCTCTGTATACAAACACTGTACCAAGGGAAGACTCGCGAATCCCGCGCGCGTGTGCCCGTGCGTGGATCGATGCGCCGAGACGCTCCGAGTGAAACGCGGGCGCAAGCACTACAGAGAGAAATGAAAAGGTGCCACCGCTTCACCCCCCCCCCCCCCCCCCACCGCCGCCCCCCCCTCCCCCAATTTGGATCGATCTGTGATGTGGAAGCCTCTGAAGCAGAGGCTTCAGAAGTTCACTCCGCCCACGAATGCACAGCAGCAGCGCCCGCCCGCCCGCCCACACCACACCGAACCCACCGCTGCCGTCCTGCGTCAGGCATAGCACCTCCCTTTGTTTTGCTTGAACAACAGCATCGGTGCCCCAACCCCACAGGCCCCCTCCCCCCCGTGTGCCGCCTCTTTGCGCCGTGACCAATAATTATAATGGCCCTTGGGTGCGCGCACAGCCTGGAGGGTGGGCTCGTCGAGTCTGCGTTGTGCCAACGCGCTGCGTGTCCACCGAGAGGGCTAGCGAATAAATTGCGCGCGGCGATGGAATGCTGCAGCCGGGACGAAGCGGGGTCCTCTCTCGCACACCGCCACAGCGCTCGCGGTGCAAGGAAACCCCCCCCCCTCGCGCGCGCGACACTCCGTGGGCCAAGAGCCGCGAGGCGCGGTCTGAGTCGCAGTCACCTCGCCACCGCCGCGTGGCCACCGTCAACGCATCGCCACCGTCATCACCACCACCACCACCACCGTGGCGATGACCACAGCTTGCTACCGTCCATACAACCACCATCACCACATCTCGGTACCATCACACCATACCAGCACCCCGCTGCCTTTCACCGACCAAACCACAATGCAAAGGGGCCGCATTTGGCAGTGGTGCACAAGCAACGACCTAAAACAATCATCACAACGCCGAAGACTCATATCGAGAGATGTATGCAGTTCAAGCTAGCCTGACGATTCGGGCAATGACCCTCGTTTGGAGCAGCTGTTGCCAAGACGTAGCCCGACCGACACGGCACGAGGTGGCCTTCATGCAACGGATTGAAAAGTTCGAGCAATTTTAAATTAACCCCGAGTCAGTCATCTGTATTCCTTTACTCCCACGTCTTCTTCAGTGTCGCTGTAGCTATTAAATGTCTCCCGAACGTCTCCCGCCGTTTCCACACAATGTTTTTTTCGTTACACGGAAAAAAAAATCCAGTGTAGCCAGTTACCCAGCTAGTTTTGGTGCCAACGCCACGCAGCCACGAACAACGGAGCACAATGGTTGGGTGGTAGAGGAGCACATCCAGTCAGGAAACTCGAGGCATGGATTACGTATTGTCATCATCACGTGGGATTGTGGACGTTGACGTCGAACGCGTACTGTCGTCTGGCGACCCGGGTTCGACTCCCGCTCGTGGCCAACATCAGTAACATATCTCAACCAGGCACAAGGCCTCGCCTAGGTCGACTCGGCTTTCGATGAGTACCTGGTGCGGTGTGTAAACATCAGCGCTGCGAAGACAACGGCGGCCGGGTGTGGTGGCGGCCACCCGTCGTGTGCCGTGTCGTCTCTCATTGGCGCTACTCGCTAACCGCACTTGCCCCAACAGTCTGTTGAGGCTGTAATAGAGGGGACCTTTGTCTTTGTACGCACATTTGCGAGACTTCCTGCGCACGTTCCTCCCCGACCGAAGCACTCGAGCAGCATGGGGGCTTCTTTAATGCCCCGGATTTGCCGGTTCGCATTGGCATTAGCACACAGCAGGCGCGCTACACTGCCAGTAATAAGCCTAACCTGTACGCGTCATTAAGATACGGGAAAGAGGATGAAATT